TTAAGTGCCAAACTGATATAAATACCCTGGAGGGATGCAAATCCAGCCCTGTTATACAGAACTGTGTAACTCTACTGTGCGCTTCATGAAAATATCCACTAAGTGTCCTTTTAACACATAAAACGAGAGCCAGTCTGAGACTGAGCAGCCAAACTTAGTAGCTGGCCAGTGAACTTGTAACCAGTATAAACTACAGGCTCAGTAAGCAAGTAGCACCTAAGTTTTCCCTCTCATGAATTACAGATAATCACTGGACTGTGACAGGGTACTGAGGGAAGAAAAGAACAACATGTAGAGGAGCAGGTGAGGAAGGACCCTAAGTGGCAGTAATAGAATTCAAATGCGGCAGAAAGGTGGTGAAAGATAATGATTGGGAGATCTGGAAAGAGGAGATGAAAGGAGACTAAGCAAGGGGAAGAGGCATGAGAAAAAAGTAAGGGAGCAAGTGAGAGAAATGAAAGAGAAGTGTAAGGAATAGAAAATTTGAGGAAAAGGGTATATATCTTCTTCCCATCTTCTGTCTCCCCCCCCACATGCCTTTAGTGCACCCCTCCCTACTACTTGCTAATGCTGCGACTGAAGAAGGCTTCTGCCTAACGCAAGATGCTGGGCTCCCCCTCTCCTGCAGCAGAACAAAAAAGGCTGACTGCAACATTTATAACATCTCATCATAGACTTGCCTACAGTGTTTAACCACCCCCTCCTCTGGCAAATCTTATCCATGAGGGTGTACAGTTTGCAGGAACATGTTTGCAGGAACAGCCCAGAGGCCTTATGCAGAGAAGTCACTTTTACAACCAGGTACTGGTATAAAGCACTTGCAGATCGCACATATCTTATAGAAAAGAAGCACAGATACAGCGCCTCCCTTTCCATGGCAAATAATTATTTAAAATGTTCCACAGAATATAAAGAAGGAAAATTAATTTCTTGGCAAGTTTCCTACGTTTTCAGGAAACGTAGCAAGCAGCTGAGCTTTTGTTCTAGTTTTTACTGTGGATGAACTCTTCTACCCACTGATGAAAATGTTTGCATATTTCCACACATGTTCTTATACCTGTAGATGCAACTTATCTTCATACAGAGTTGAATGGGTGGTTGCAACAAAATTAAGACTGGATAGGACAGGTGACCAGAAACTGGGCAAGCGGGAAGAATGCACCAGTGAAAGCACATTTATAAAGATTTAGCTCTCTGAATACACAGTGCCCAAAATATCTTTACGATGTTTTCAGGGAGATGACCCATTTACTGAAACCTAATAGGACATTTAATTATTATCCTTCAGACACCCCATGAAGTTATTTAAATATACGATACAGCCATATTTACTTTTTTTTCAGTATCAAATAGCTGTAGCCAGCAACATGAGCTTTTTATAGAACTACAGGCAAAACATTAAGAATAGTATTTATTTTAGCCAAAATAAAGGTCCAAACAGCTGTCTTCTGAAATTAATCAAGAACTACTTTATGGGTATTTCACCTTAAAAATGAGCTTCAATGACCTGACCAACCATTCTGAATATAGTAATTGTTGAGGACAAGAAAAATGTTGTTACTAAATTCTTATATTAACAAAAAATTCCTCATTTTACGCTACCTTTCTTTTCATATCTTTGCAGCATGTGACTGGATTGATACTATTCTTTTAATAAATAATGTGTCTGTATCTTTATCATTCTGGTCAGTGCCTTATGAATATTACCAGGAGACAGAGAAACTATGCAAATTCAAAACACAGATTATTAAAAAGGCCAAACTAATGACTCACATTTTCATTACTCAAAGAAAATAGTATTTGAAACACTGTTAAATGTGATACTGGTAAAAATGAGGCACACTACCCTGCATTTACAGCAGAATAGTATTTTTAAAACATGCCAGTCAACTTTCTAAAGTTTAATTGGTGGCTGAAATGAGCAGAACAGGAGGTTCCATAGAGGTGTGAGCTATTCCAGGACAACATCATTCGTGAAAGTTTTTGACAGTGTATTGACTTTCCTTAGAAGTTTTGTTTATGCTCATAATAAAAAGGAACTCTAATGGCTTCTTTTTGTTCTTTCCTTTTTTGCTCTTTTCAGTGAGCGTTGACAGGCATGCCTGAGAGACTCCAGACGGTTTCAAAGCTGGATATGGACTGGGATACAAGTAGAGGCAGCAGAAAAATGACAATGAAAGTGAACCATTCAGTATTCTGATGAAGCTGAAAAATCAGGACTACTTACATAAGGCAGAACTTACTTGCACTTCCTGGCATTTCTGGTCCCTTTCTCCCTCAACTGAAAGTTAAAAAAAAAAAAAAAAAAAAAAAAAAGAGCAAAGCATTCTGGCATGTCAGTTAGTGATATCTGCAGTTTGGTCAAATTGCTTTTCTGGTCTTAACGCTGTTTTAAAAATAGGTTCTATGATATGTGCATCCACAACAAAGCTTTTAAAGAGGATCCAAAACTGTATGTTTAAATACTTGTTTGCACAGGCCCAGTTGATATTTTACACAGAGTATGTGCAGATTCAGATCTTGTATTTCTGAGTAAGCAGCATTTGTAAACCAAGGTACTGTCAGAAATCCTTTAGAACTTGTCCCCCTTTTCTTAACTAGCATTATAAAGAAGCTTTAATAGGCATGCAAATAATAGTTTCTAAATTACTGTTTCACAGTAGGCAGAACATATTCTCAAATTATTCTCCCATTTAGATACTCTTTCTGATTTCAAAATGAAATAGAAGGTATCAGAGCTAGAATTATATGCCTATTGACTACTGCTTTTAATTATTTTAAACATATCTAGAATTACTACGTAGACTGACATGTATCAGTGACAATATATTCAAAAACAGGGGGATCTTCTCCCCTTTGTTTCCTCCCCTGCCCAAGTCCCTGTTTTCCTGCAGGACAAGGGGAACAAATCACACCAATTCCCTCTAAGTGCACAAGTCATAGAGACAAAATGTTTTTTGCCTTATTATGGTTATGTTGGAATAGCTCTGCTGCTGATTCCTCCTCTCCATGACAGTAGAGAGGGAAGGTATTAAATACACCGGCAGTTTAGACAGCCCAGGAGGTATTAGCACCTACATGATATGACTCCTAGCAACACATGAAGCTTGCTTTACCACCAGGCACAGGACTTAAGTGCTGCACTCACTGACTCTCCCCCAGACCCTGCAGGCATTTGCCCACCCTTTCCCTTTTACCAGGGCTGCTCCTCACAGCCAGGTCTCGCTGAGCCTTGGAAGAGTCCAAACTTTTCCAATTTTGGCGTTTTAAAGCAAAAGAAGCCACAGGAAAAACCCGTACAAAAATTCGTTTTCAATCCATTGCTGGTTGCAACTTGGGGCAACGGGAGCAGAGATTGTACCAAGCTTTCCTCTGCAGCGTTGCAATGGAGAAAGCACACCACCAGACTTGTGAAGGCAAATTAAACAAAATGTCATTAAAAACTTAGCTGCTGAGACAACATTAGATCAAAGCTGACCAAAGGAAAACACAGTCATGAGAGAAGTAATGGCATTAATTTAACTAAGTAATTCCTGAACACTGCAGCCTGAATAATAGGAAGAACTCTCCCTATAAAATTGTCTCTCCCATTTTACTGGCACTGTAACACACTGGACATTTGGCAGAAAACACTGTAAAGATACTGTAACTCTACTAATTAGTAAGTCCTGTATATAGGGAAGACAATGTATATAAGCAAAACCACTAATGACACAACATGGAAATGGAAAACGTGGTTCTGAAACTACCCGTACCCAGCTTTCACAAACTTCTGTAGCATCGGCTATGCAGGTGCTGAATGCAGCTCACTGGATTAAAATGAAAACCCTGCTCTGATTTTAATCTGCTCTAATATGGGTCAGCAGGAAAGTGGCTCCAGGTTTCCCCTGAGCCAGGGAGGGTAGGGCACTGCTCATCTTCTCACCTGTGAACAACATTCAGGCACATCTGAGGTGCTGTGGCTAAATGTTTAAGATTAGCAGTGGAGATCTCATAAACAAACTGAAAAGCAAATATTTTACCAGGCACACATAAGTACTTATTAAGATTTATATCATCTTCAGTGCCTTTGACATTTTACAATAGTGTTTATTTCCTTACTTGTTAATTCACAGAACTGGATAGTCTACAAGGAATTTACACATTAGAAATTAGCAAGATTGTTGGGCATAACTTCATAAATATGACATTAGCACAACAACGTTCTAATATAAACATACACAATGCTAAGTAGGAATAAAGCATCTCCTAAGGGCAGAGGAACAACCTGCAGGGAACTCGCTGAAGTCGAAAGGACCCAGTTTGTCCGGTGAAGCAGCTCCCTGCCGTGCCTCTCGGGGCTGAACACACAGAGGAAAGCAATTGGGAGTTAGGTAACTGAATCAGTGACCCTCCAGTTATATCAGCCCAGCATTCTTGTCAGGGGAGAGGAAATAAAACAATTCCAAGGTTAAAACAGCTCCCAAAACAGCTCTACAAAGATCTAGTCTAAAAATATGAGCTCCTTTTTTTTTCCAGTGAAGAAAAAACCCATGAGTAGTCTGTGTACTGTGACCATTTATAAGTGCAACATGTGGCTTGTATTCACAGTTATTAGTGCTCACATGTCAGATTACAATGACAATAAATCCCATTATAATGAATAATTCTATTTACACCTGGTCACTAATGGGACATAAAAATCGTTCTGAGACATCATTTCGTAGAGACACCTAATGAAAATGTTTCCAACAAAAACCTGTAAAAATAAACAGGGGGTTTAAAGATTCATCTGTAGTGAGAGGGAGTAGCTGTAAACAGTTTTGGAGAAGGCACACACTGTAACCAGATTCAGACTTTTGTTATTCTGTTAAGGATGTCGGGGACGTTGCTTTTTTGCCCTGACTCATCCTTTTCCCTAGTGGATATTCTGACCCTTAGTCCTGGCAAATGCAGCAGTACCAAAAAGTTCTCTCTGGTACCTCATTAATCACTCACTCCCCTGCCATGTGCTATCTTACCTGCAGATGTAATTCTTCTTGCAGGATTCTTGTAAATTCAGGCAGTTTGGTTTCTCCCTGTCCTCATATGAACACACAGGAACAATAGTCTGCCGTCTCCTTTCTGTACAGGCTACGTCTCGACAGGAGCAGAAGAGCATCCCATAGCTGTGCTTTGGGGGAACTTTGTCAAAAAATAGCCGGAGGGCCTTATGACACTTCCGCTTGTTACAGATTTCATTAGACGTGCTGCTGGTGCAGGGGGTTATGTAAGCAGATCTGAACCTCTTGCAGGTATCATTTAGGTTACAAGCTTTTGCTGCATCCAAGCAATTGTTCCCCTTTGAAAGTACTGGCTCCACTAGAAAAAACAACACAACAGCAGTAAGAAATGCGTCACATTTATATTGTGTTTTGATGTTTGTGTTTACTTCACTGTTAATGAGACCCTGGTTATATATATGTTACATACAAAACTTTCAGTGCCAGAAACTGTGACCAGTCCTTATGTTTCTTAGGGTGATGGTTTAACGAGTGAACAAGAGCATAGGCATGCGTTAAGATCAGAATGCTGGCAAATAAATGACGATTACAGTGCGCAGGCTGTACTTCATCTTCTGTGTAGCAGACATGCAGGATGAATATTGGGTAAGTCTTGGCCTCACTGGAAAGCTATTAAAATTGCTGGTAAATTGGAAGGGATACGCTTGGCCCATCACGCAAGAACACTGTGAGAACATGTTTACAAATACTCTAGTTTTGTAAAGCTCTGACATTTTACATTTTTTCCTTGAACAATACAAATGACATTCAGTGTCTACTTCAAGTAACAACATTTAAATGTAATTTGTGTACTCTGCAGAATATAAAAGCCACGTGCCTGTTACTACAGTTTTTAAGGTATGAAAATAGCCCACCCAGACAGAAAGGAAGGCAGGTGCAGCCCCACTCTAAGGCCACCCACAAGGCCGGTAAGATCTGTGCTTAAAGACACTTTTGCAAGATCTATAGATGCCACCTGAACCCTAGAAGTTTTTATGAAGTTTATAAGCTTTGAAGAAGCTGACATAGAATTTAACAAGTGACTGTGAAAAACATTTTAAAACAAGGAGTATGTCTCTCGCACGCACACTCTACAAGAAGTTACAGAAAAAAATAAACTTAGATAAAAGGTAAGACTATAGTTACACATTTAATTTTGCAATACATTATCCAGATATTAAAACCCAATATATGTTTTGCTTGAAAATGAAGGCCACTGGCATTTTCAATTAAGAATAATCATAATGCTGCTTTGGATATTAAGAATGCCAACACCACAGAAAATACATTAATTTCTCACCACTACAGAATTTCCAAGCTTAACAAAACATATTGCAAGTATCTAAAACTCGGCAGCGACCTCTTAGGGGAGCTGGCCAAAGATAAAACATCTCAAACAATCTAAGGCTCTAGGTTCCTCTTTAACAAAAGCTTTTCTTCTAAATCTTCTACCTTTTCCCAAAAACTCAGTCCAAGACCCTTCTATACTTCAATGCAACTCTTCTCCATTGTGCTAACCCTTTGCCTCCCATTGTGGCCTGAGATGATCAGGATGTCAGCCTTCCGTCTTTTTTCCATGGCAGGAAAAGATGATGTAGGCTGCCTGAGGTGCTGCACAGAGGTACTGCAATTTCCTGAACTGACTCGCTCAAGATGGGCCTTGGCACCCTTCACATTATACAAATATATCACCTGCTACTATTCCATGTATCTTACCTATCCAGAAAAAACGCAACGCATAAGTAGCATTAGACTGGTTTGTCACTCCAGCAATATGCTGTTATTATGTTCAGTGGGTTTGTACACTTAACCTTTGTACATTTAACATTCACACTCCCAAGTCCTACTCAATCTGTTTCTTGCATAATAAACTGCAACTTTTTGTTTATCTTCATAAATTACAAAATTATAAACATGCAACATTTGACTATAAATTAACAGAGCCAAGTATTTCTTATAATAGCAGCCTACCACAGCTGAAGCAACACCAGATGCAGAAAAGATGAAATAACCAAAATATAACGCTCTCATGAAACTTATAACATTTTATAAAAAATGTTGTAGTACATTAACATACAACTATAATCTTAACTATGAATTTTCAAAGTTTTTTTGATACAGTATATAGAATTATATGTTTGGTACAAATATAATTACTATGTAATCTGCAGGGCATATAATTATGCAATATATGAATAGTACATGCTAATTAGTATGTGATTGCAGAGTAATTACATGGTTATTTGTGTCTGGGAGTCAACTGCTGAATTCCACTCTTTAAAACAATATTCTGTGGAAGAGCTCCGAATGGAGCATTGCAATATGAACAGACATCAGCTTACTGAGTGATATATTATATCATTGCCAGCCCCAGAGCTGGACACAGCACTGCAGGTGGGGTCTCACGAGAGCGGAGTAGAGGGAGAGAATCACTTCCCTCGACCTGCTGGTCATGCTTCCCTTGATGCAATCCGGGACACATCAGTTGGCTTTCTGGGCTGTGAGCGCACATTGACAGCTCATAGGCATTTTTCCACCCTCTAACACCCCAGGTCTTTCTCCTCAGGGCTGTTGTCAATCCCTTCTCCACCCAGCCTGGATTTGTGCTGGGGATTGCCCTGGCCCATGGGCAGGACCTTGCACTTGGCCTCATTGAACTCCACGAGGTTTGCATGTCCCACCTCTCCAGGCTGTCCCGGTCCCTCTGGATGGCACATCCCTTCCCTCCAGTGTGTCACCGCACCACACAGCTCGGTGTTGTCAGCAAACTTGCTGAGGGTGCACTGTCCCACTGTCCATGTCACTAAGATGTTAAACAGCGCCGGTCCCAATACCGACCCCTGAGGAATGGCACTCGTCACTGCTCTCCACTTGGACATTGAGCCATTGACCACAACTCTTTGAGTGCCAATTCCTTAACCACTGAGTGGCCCATCCATCAAATCCGTGTCTATCCAATTTAGAGGCAAGGATATCATGTGGGACAGTGTCAGATGCTTTGTACATGTCAACTCTGTGAACACAGATCTGTTTTGTTTGTTTGTTTTGTTTTTTAAACGAGCCCTGGCTGTAACATGCCACTTGCCTTTCTCTTTTGATACAGATGTCTCTAGCTATTGTTTCTGGCATATTTACCATCACATTATACAATTTATTTTTACTTTTAAAAAACAAGACTAATATACAACACGTAAGTGGTACATATCAACTGCATCTGAATTAAACAAGACTGTCTAAACCAACTCTTCTCATTAACGCCAACTTCTTCTCATCTTTTAAATCATGTTTAATGCAAAATTTACAATCCAGAACACACTTTATGCCTTATTTTTATTGCATAAGTACAGTATAACTATTCCTAAATCCTGTAGTAACTACAAACAGTTAACAATACTGAGAGTGTTTCTGAGGATTACTTATGCAGCAGCAATACATAAGGTCAAAATTTCACCCAGCTTCTGTTCTGCAAAGCTTAAATTATTAAGACAGGCAGGAATTTGGCTCTTACTAGGTACTGACTATGTTAAGAGCAAATGGATCTAATCTAGAGTTGCTTTTCCTGCCAGCATCCTTTGGGAAAGGCTTGTGTAAGGAGATCCTTTTTCAGTTCTCTCTTGGGGCACTTGGATATGGACTGAGGGTGGTCAGAGCAGCAGCCTGGGACAAATAATGATTCCTTCCCCCACCATTTCCCCACCCAGAGCTTCCTCTCTCCCAAGTCCACTTTGCCTTGGTCCCATTCGGGAAATCTCTGCCAAACCATGCAGCTTTCCACTCCTGCCAAATCACTGCAGACTCCAAGGCAAGTTACTATCAGGCAGGTGATAAGTGATGCCTCATGCCTGTGTGCGAGGCACTGGCTTGCACCAGTGCCAAGGGGCCCAACAGAGCAGATCTGCAAACATCAGGATGCTGCCTCCCATCAAAAGTCACCAGCAGCTGTGAGCTGCTTCCCTGCTATGGGCACTACCCTGATGCAGTGCAGGCAGAGTCATGGTAGAACACAGCCAGAGCCAGCAGCTGCTGCTATGGTGGGAAAGCAGCAGCTCTCAACATCCATAGAGCTAGGATGCCTAAAAGCATCCTCATACCAGGCAGTTTGCTGTACACTGATCACCTGCTCACAGCTCTTCTAGTGTGCGTGTAACACTTGCATTCAAGGTGAGATGTTTGTTCTGATAAATTTTACTGATAAAAAGCAGACCTTGTGTTAGAGTGTAACGTGTAACCACTTTGATATTTGTTATCTCCTGAATGCCCCCCCTGCCCCCTCACCCAACACTGTTACAGCTGCAACAGTTCTGGACTCAAGCTCCCATACACCAGCAGACAGAAGGCAGACAAATGCTCCAGTCTTTTATCCAGAGATGTTTCTAAAGTTTTAATCCAGCTTCCTGTGCCCTGTGTGATCTTCCTTATGTTTCAGCATCAGTGTCTTCACCTCAAACTTTCATGTTCCTGGCATTTCCATTTCTATTTCATTTCTGCACCTACTGAGCCTTTAGCTGTCTCCTCAACTCCTGTTAACCCCATGGTGCACAAGAAGGGATTCTCAGCGGATATTGGGGGCTTCTTATTTGTGCTCCCACTAGATGGAAGGAGTGAAAAAACTATTACTTGTTCTATAAAATTCTTATTAAACAGCAAAATGGACACTTAGTTTTCAATTTTCTTACAGCACATAAAAAGCAATTTACTGAGGTTGCCATTAAAATTACCATTACTATTTGCAAGTAATTAGCATTAGTAGGTTTTCTAAGGGTTTTAGTGAAGGGAATGCTGTAAAGAGAGCTGTAAATGTTAATGTGATGGAAGGCAAAATTACAAAGTGATAGAGGTGACCACATGGGCATGGGCCTACTCCAACACAGGTGCAGAATATGGCATATAGGAACCAAAAACTGACCAGAATAAAGAGGAGAACCATGATCCCACTTCAACAAAAGTGCTGCTACGGGGTTCAACAAAGTACTTCTGCTTTGTAAGAATAGATTAAAAAATAAGGAAAGCATGGGAAATATTGTCATCTGCATCTTAATGGATACAAATAAACTACCATTTTCCTGGACAAATTATTTCTAAACCCAAATGGCAGAGAAAAAACGAGTCATCCCCAAGAAATCATGAGACTGATAAACATACATGTTATTCTGAGCTTCTACTTGTCTCCTACTCAGCATTTAAAGAACAATGAAGGCTACTTCAAACCTTTTCCGCAATCATAACAAGCACATGCTTCACTTTTTAAATTAAAGCTAATACATTATCAGCTATAACCAGGGCTTTCAGGGTACTACTAAATACGACAAGATGCATGTT